TTTTTTTACAATGAAAGCAGAGAAGTGAAACAAAAAAATGTCATTGGAATTGTACACATAATAGTATTTACAAAGACGTTTCATTTGTTGTTGCCTTGGTATCAAACTATCTTACTGTAGCCTCATAGTGTCACTACAGAGATAACACTGGGATTAGCATTACATAGCAAAGCACATACTGTCCACATCTGATTCACTAGCCCCAGCTAATTTAAAGGTACTACCCCATCCCAAATGTGGAAGTTTTTAATCTTATTTATGACCCTTTCAACATGAATTCTGACGCTGGCTATTTCCTGGGTCTGAATAACTTCTTCTGCAGGCATTTGTTTAGAACTTCCAAGGAACGGAGGGATGTTGAGCTTCACTCCCAAGGGTAGCAAATCCTCAATTGTAAAACCTTTATCGGCCATTACCGAGTCACCTTCATCAGGCTGCTGGGCAATTGACACCTGACTTCAGTACAATCAATTATAACTCTAGTTGATTTATACTTGGCCTTAAAATCTTCAGGCATAGATTTATCAATTACTTCTCTTGATGGCCAAATGTTGATTACACTAAGTCTCAAGTACATAAAATTTATCCAGGTTATTATTATACGACTAACTGTTGATGTTGATACGTGAAACAAATGACCCAGATGCTCCTCAGCCAAACCTTGCCTCAGCCTGCATAGTACAAAGAAGTATTCATCAATTGGCCTTAGATGTCTTGGCCTTCCTTTCTTGGTCTCCTTGATTTTTATGTCTCTTGATTGTAGATGTCTGGTTGGACTTCCGACTTGGAGTAAACATAATATCGGATATTTTCTCCTTTCTCGCCGGGGTCTAGATAATTGTAGATTTCCATTAAAACAGCGTTATCAGGAAACGAAGTGTAGAAGGACACAGCAGAGTTGTGGACCCGAAATCTTTCAATAGAAAAAAGTCTGCTTTTTAAACATTCATTCTTCTTTGAAATGCTTTCTATTTCTCTCTGGAGCTCTTCTATTGTCATTTCATACTGTTTCACAAGCGCGACAACACTCTGATCAGTCTGAATGCAGGCATCCTTCGACTCGACCAAATCAGTCCGAGTTTCGGCATCTTTTCTCTTTGCCTCATGTTCGACGTTGTTTTCATTAGATTTTACAGTTGTAATCTGACTGTCTAGCTATTCAATCGATTTATCATTTACGCTACTTTCTGTGCACACCATGAATAAAGCCCTGGATGATTGATGAGTAGTTGCTTGACTAGTGAATCTTTGAGGTGGAGGCTTCTTTTTGCGCGGCGAAGTACGCCACTGAAATACCGAAGGTATGGCATTGGTTTGAAGGCATATTTTGCCCACAATAGTTTTCTTCAAGTCTTCCTTTTTAAAATGGTGCGAGCAGACCATGGTTGAGTCCAAGACTTTGAAGTTTTTTCCTTCCTCTCGACGGATTGCATGAAGCCATTGCTTTCTCGCGAGTTTTTCTCTGGGAAACTTGAAGTAAGATATTTTTGAGCCGTTTTCGTCGCGATATCCCCTAGTAGTACATAAAGGAACACAGCAGTGGCATGGCATTGTATATAACTTGAGCCTTAGCTATATTATTTGAAAAATAAAGCTTTTTCGATTGATAAATTGTGCCAGAAACTTTTTGACAAGCGCTCACAAGTGCACAAATCCATGCCCGGGTGGCCTCGTCCCCATGCACTAGTTTTAGTTTTCACTCGGCCGCCGCCATTATGGCAAAGGTGTATTAGATTCTACTATCACTACTATTACTACTAAGTGCCACTGTTACTAGTTTTATGGTCTTATAATACGCTATACTATAAAATAATGACACAGATATTACTACCTCTAGTATTGGAATTAGCTTAACCAGTTACTTATTTATTAGCCACTTTTTATTAAATTTATCTAAAGTATTATTCTTCATACACAAATTTTTTGTTATAAAACAAATTTTTAACCTTTAATTTGAAGCCAGTTATATTGGGTAATATTTGAGTTCTTCTGCAATCCGATAAATACATCTTAGCTATCAGTAATAACTTATTAAGTAAAGGGGATTTCGTGATTATAATACCTACAATAACATATTTCAACGTAAGGTATACAAATTCTTTTGAAAGACTATAAAAATAAGATTCAATGTCTCTCCAAAAACTTTTTGTTTTTATGCAATCAAAAAGAAGATGGCTTAAGGTTTTTGATTCAGACTTGCAAAAGGACTATTTATCTTCTGTGATGAATCCTATCTTAAATAGCTTGGTGTTAGTGACTGATAATATGAATTTAGGACCTTGTACTGGAAGGCTCTCCCGTAAGGTTTAAAGCTCACTGTGTGAGGCAAGATAAACCCTTTTTTTAATTATTCTTCTTATAATAAGTTGAAATCACGTTTTAAAACTTGTGCATCGTTTGGAGATTTAGCTTTTGTGTTTAGGAGCAGAGTGTAATAATGTTTTGATGTCTTTTCCAAAGCATCAAAGACCTTGTTGTTTATCATCAAAGAGTGAGAGATTTCCAACCCGCGGCTAGTGTTTGTTTTTAAGTGGGACGGTATAGCATGTCGAAGACCCGCCCACACCAAAAAGTTTGTTTTGTTGATAATATTTAAAATAACGTTATAGGATTCTATATGAATTAATTCAAATAAGAGATCGTTTACGAAAATAATGCCGGATTCGAAAAAGTTTTTATAAAGACGGACTTGTAATTGATACGAATGTCTTTATTGTTCCAAATTATATTTTGCCAATCTTTTTCTGTATCAAATTCAATTCGGAATTCGGACCACCACCGGAGAAGTTTGGTATAGAATTGTGAGCGAATGGGGATGTCTTTTACATCGTAATTACAGCGACATAAGACTGAAAAAACCACTAGACTGTATGTGACGTACGTAACTCTTCCGCGCACCATCATTTTCACCAAAAATTCTTTTAAGCCAGGTAAGTCTTAAAGATTTAACCATAGTTTCAAAATCGATCATTTTTAAACTACCAGTTTCGTATTCATTTATTGCTGACAAGCGTGTTACTTTATCAACGCCTTTCCATAGGAATTTAAATAGCAATTGATTTAATTGTTTAATAACTTCTTTGGGGGTGGCTAACAGCGAGGATACATAAACAAACTTTGGATAATCAATGATTTAATTATAGTCACCTTTCCAAAGTGGGAGAGACCTCTGGAGCTCCAAATATTGATGGGTTTCTTTATGGTGTCAAGTTTTTCAATAACATTCTTTTCTAGAAGTAATTTTGGATCGTAGGAGTAGTAGACTCCCAGAGCTTTGACAGCTTCATTTGGCCATTTAATTTCAAACTGTTTTGTTTTATTTCCTCTGGAGGATCCAATCCACATACCTTCAGTTTTAGAGGGATTAATCGCTAAACCTGACAGCTTCTTAAAATCATCGAGCAACTTGAAACGGATGCGAGCGGAATTAACGTCTGAAAGTACTACTGTGGTATCGTCCGCATATTGGAGGAGTTTTGTTTCATTCTTTCCGTTGGTAATTCCTATTATCGCTGTATCTTGACGAACTGCAATTGCCAGGGTTTCGACAGCTATTATGAACAGATATGGAGAGAGCGGATCCCCTTGCCTCACTCCTCATTCAAGTGTAAAATAATCAGAAGTGATACCGTTATTGATCACACAACTTTGTATATTATTGTAAAAAGTCACGACCCATCGAATGAATTCGGGCCCGAAATTAAAGGATTCTAAACAACGTTGAAGATAACATGATTCTATGGTATTCATTGTTTTCCAAACAATGCTGTTTGGAAATATGATTCTTAAGTAGGGAAAGGTAAGAGATTTACTTTTCGTTACAAGTAGTAAGCAAGCCTTTGGCTTGTGTTAGTAGTTTGTTCATTTATCCTTCATTCCTTGGTATGTGCAGTTCCTTTAGTAACTTACAACTGTTTAGGGATAAAAGATAGTCGCTGAGTATATTTCCACGGCTAGGTTTGTAGTAGTTACCTTAAACGTAGGAGAACTTAATGATTGTAAGGCATTTGTTCGATTTTCAAGGAAGAAAATAGAAATGTGGGGCACTGTTCATTCATCAACGAACTTGTCTTTAAACACAGCGCAAACGATTTTGAAAATCGATCACCTAAATCATACAAGTTGGTCAATGGTCATATCCTAATCCCAGCTAAACGACCTCCTGACTGTTTAATTTATTACAAAACATGAAGAATCACATGAGGCCCGCATGGCGCTTTGATAAAAGCAAGATGAGTTATTGTTCCCGATGTGTTTCGTAGAACAGATTTATGAATTTTCCACAGAACGCTCAAATGTTATGTCTCCGGTCCCGGTGGGAATTCTCATTAAGAACAAGTTCGTTATGGGAAAGATGGTTTGCCAAAGTAGTTCCTCACCGTTGGAAGAGATATCCTCTGTAACGTTTTGATCAATTGAGCTGCCGGAAGGATGTGCTTTGGTTTTTCTAAAAGGAAAAGGATGTTAGTGGAGTCATTTTATAATACTTTAATAAATGTGTTTCTTAGAAAAAAGAGAAATATAAAAATTCAATGGAAAATATAACGTATAAAATTGTGTTTTTTTTTTTCTAAATAAGATATCATTTTCCTCTTTACAGAATGATTTGTGAGGATATAAGTCTTTATTTATAATTTAGTAATTTAAAACTAAAAGCCCCTGGACATTTTCGCAGCCGAAGAACCATCACGCAATTGAACTCTCACATTTAAATATTAACTTCAGCACTAGCTCGATCATAAATCCTTTTCACACAGGGAGCAAAAAACAAATAAATCAATGCCCTCTTACTCCCAATACGCTTCTGATCAGATGTTTTGCCTTAAAACGCCGATTTTAGTAAAAAAAAATTATCATATACATAACGATAAATGAATTTCCAATATCATCTCCACAAAGCTATCATCAATTAGCTATAAAAAGCAATGTGTATCAGATTCCAAAATTTCGAGAGCAATGCAAATTTGTAATAATTGTTCGCCGGTGATTTTTTTTTCGGAAAAATATAGCTTTTTTGGAAATAAGTAAGTAAAACGATGACTTCCCGATTAAAAAATCGAGTATTTAATATCTATTTCAACGTTTATTATCTTAGCGGGTTTTTCTATAGCAGAGAGTCTCTTGGGTAGAAACGTTTTATACCATGCCATCTTCAAACAATTGGCTATCCCTTTTAACCGGAGAGATGACGTAAGAGTTTATAGTGGAGTTCCTTTTACCCATATCGAGAACAGCAGGGTTTAGGACGAATTTCACTTAAAGTAAAATGTTTTTAATTCAACAACGCTAGCTTAATTAATCAACCTCAGTCAGGCACATATGAGCCTGTTCTCTAAATAGAAAGCCAAAACGACTCTACTCTATTTAATTGGAAGCGCTTCTAGAAGGCGCAACCAACAGAAGCCGATAATTTTATCGTAGCTAGACAATCGCTTGAAGGTAAGAAATATACTAGGCAAATGGTTTATCGTTTACATAAAAAGGCGTTGGAGCTATCTTAATTTTCCAAGTGAAAATTTTACTTTTTGCTGACTGATGTGTGTTTTAATATTTACCAAGCGTTTCTCTACAGAAGGTATCAAGTTTCTGAGATCTTTGAAGCAAAAAGCTTTGGTAGAAGATTGTGTTTCTCTCTCAAGGCTTAATGATATTTCTCTTAAAAACTTTTCTTCTTTCTCTCACTCTCAGTGATATGAACTGGGCCAAATGAAGGAGAGATCTCGGAAATTGTATTTCATAGAAGGTTATCTCTACAAAGTATAGCCGTTCTGTATCATTTCTCAGCACTTCAAAGTCCAAACAGAATTTCATTCACCTTTAAAACGACAGGGATGAAAAGGAGAGCTGTTAAACTTTAGCTGCAGTTGTTTGCAAAAGCATTTTCGGCCGAGTCCCTTTCGTTGCCCAAGCCCGCTTTCAGCATTTTAGTCAAGTGACCTGTTTCGTCCGATGTAAAGAAAGCATCTCGACGCGTGCACATCGTGCCGTGATTGTAGACAGAAAGTTAGGCAACGAAGAGTACTCTAAAGGCGTATTTTTTTATCTCCCTAAAACCCGACCGAATTCCTTGCAGATAGAAAAGGATGAAGCTTTCAAGGTCCGCAATTTTGTTTATATCACTGGTGCTCTTCGCAGTCCTTTTCTGCAAGGTAGACTGCAATTATGGGTACATTCGGTTTGGTCGTGACTTCAAGAGGCGTCCACTCAGCAAAGTTAGGGCTATAGCACGGACAGGAGCTAGAGGAAGTGTGAGATTGAGGAGCCAAGAACAAGACACAAGAAATGCTGCTGCATACGGGTAACGAAACAACTTGTCAATAGTTATAATTCTGTATGATTTATTTTTTTTAATTTTTCATCAGTTTAAATCCGATAATTAAAGAGCCCTGCAATCAGCCTAAGTAATTTACCAATCTCGATCGATCAATGAGGGAAAATAGTTTTTGAGCTTTTATACCTTCGGATTGAAAGAGATAATTCTAGGTAACTGGTAGTGTGATTTAAGCCGTCAATTTGACCTACTTGTAAGTAAAATACTAATTAAAACGTCTGTGAGTTCCCATTCATCTGCAAAAATTCCTTCGATTTTTTCCTCGTCACTTTATTTTAACTAGTACACCTAACGATCCACCTTGTTCGCCCCACCCATCTGAAAAAGTGATATTGTGTTCTATGTGCTGTAGTCAAGTTCCCCACTCATTACTCTCTATTTGAAAAAAATTATTATTTTAAAAAGTGTCGTCAGCATGTTTTAAACTCTAATAAAACATGCTTAAATAGGCCAATCAGAATCCTTGTTAGAATGATGCAGATATTCTGATCAATTGAATAAGACTAAAGCTGTCAAAAATGTCAAACCATCAAAGTTCACAGTTTGCAATAGTTCGCAAACTGAAGTAGTTCCCAGGTCGAATTCAATTCTATTCCTCGTAGTCTTTTAGTCGATATACAGAATCTGAAAGTGAAATTTTCGTTGAAATTCGGCCGAATTGTGGCTTATGAAAACACGCAAGTTTTTTTCACATGACAATTAGAAAACAAATTGCTCACGGTATGTGTTTTATGAGTAAACGACGACCGATTGCTTGGGGATTGATTGAGGATTGCTTGGGATGAAAGCGTCTGTAAAACTCGGCTGCTTTGACTGATGTGGCCGTCGACTCAACTTATCAAAAGATATTGGAGCAAGCTCTTAGTCGTGCACGATGAAATAATTTCTGAGGCTTGCTTCACTGCGATAACCGGAATGACCGGAGATCGCCATGATGAGCTATCATTTTTTTGGCAGTTATTCCAGTATGGTGACATTTTTCTTCATTCCCGTTTTGTTCTGTTTTGATTCTGAACACGAAACTATGCATACTATTCGAGTGTTTTTTATGTATACGTAGTGAAACAATTGATAGTCTTGCTGACCTTGAAAATCTTAGAAACTTTTGTCCCAATTCATTTTAAATTTACGAAAAAAGTCCGAGAGGTCCGGGAAATGGTCGGACATTGCATAAATTGGCAGATAGCGTGACAGCTTTAGCTCAGCTCCATGTTTTATACTTTAATAAAACACGCTCTTTCGACCAGTGACAGCGCACGTTCTGTCCTAACTTTATTACAATTTCTCAATGCGCGCACTAGGAATGTCTACAAGGAGACAATGCACAAAAGTGTTCAAAAGGCAATGAGAATTGTAACTATAAACACTGTTTTCTGCATGTCACCGCAAACGGCAAAAGTCGAACCTTTGCTGTAGCTTAGCCTTGAACCAAAGTATCTCCCGTAGTTTAATGATTTCCAACTAAGAATCTATTGAACTATGTACGACTCTCTCGACTGAATTCGATTCGATAGATCTTAAAACCACTTGTACAGTAAACGGGTAATTGATAGCCACATTAGTCATTCTAAGATTTCCTAATTTCCTAGGTATGGAACACAGGAGGAACAGGCGTTCCAGTTGAATCAGTGGTGAACAAAACCTGATCAGCAGTTTATGCTTGTCAATTGTTTCGAAGAGGACAGATGTGATGAGTTTGGCTACTGAAATGAAGAAGACAATTTATTTGTATTGAGTTGATTCTCTAAATAAATGCGCAATTGTGTGATTGAGCCAATACACGAGTCACTTTAATGACACCAATTTAGTCTCGATAGACAAGCCAGCTGGCCTGGCAGTCAGTCACTTACGAACAGCCAGTCAGTCAGTCATCTCTAGCCAGCCAGTCAGTCAGTCATCACTGGCCAGCCAGTCAATCATTCAGACAGTCCGTCAGTCATAACCAGTCAGTTAGTCAGTCAGTTAGCCAGTTGTTACCAGTTACTCAGTTGGTAATAATCATTCACTCAGTTAGTTATGATCATTCAGTCACTCAGCAAAACAGTCGTGACCACTCAGTCAGTCAGCAAGTAATACAGTCAGTCATAATCAGTCAGTCAAGCGGTGTGTGAGTCAAAATGGTTGGTCATGGTCAGTTAGCTTGTCCGTTAATCCATGTGTGAGTACTGTTCAGTCAATCGGTAAATCTTTCATGCATTCAGTTATAGTCCAATCGTATAGTTCAATCGTGCATTTCCTCCCATTTCATTTACTCGATTAGTCTGTTGATACGCTGAGCTGCCAATCAGTAACTACAGACGTCGTCAGCTTATCCACTGATCAGTCAGTCAGTAAGTAATTATAGAAGTCGTCAACTATTTGTAATCCGCTGAGCAGTCAGTCGGTATTTAGTCAGTCAGTCACTCACTCATTCAGTCTCTCAGCCAGTCAGTCAGTCTCACCCAGTCATTAACTCAGTCAGCTAATTGTAGTCCACTGATCAGTCAGTCAGTATTTAGTCAGTCAGTCTGTCACTCAGTCAGTCAGTTAGTCAGTCCGTCTCTCACTCAGTCATTAACTCAGTCAGTCACTCAGGCAGTTAGTCAGTCAGTTATGACCAGTCAGTCAAGCAGTCAATCATACAGCCTGTAAGCTAATACGATAGTCTGTCAGTAATGATCAATCTGTTAGTCAGTTGTAGCGAATCATCAAATTAGTCAGTCATTTTATCATCAGTCAGTTAATCCGTTAATCTAGCAACCAGCCAATTTAAAGGAAGTCAGTCATTTAGTACATGAATGGTTGAGTGAGTAATAAAGTGAGCGAGTAAGTGTGCAGCAATTAGGTCAATAATCAGTCAATTTGCATTATTCAGTAAACAAATCACGTCCGTTAGTGTCGGTCAGTTCATCAGGCTACATCTCCTTGATTACTCCATGATACCTTTTTTTTCAAAGGAAAGACAGGGTGATATCCACTTCTTATATACCAGAACTGTTAAAGGCGTTCTACATGAGAAAGCCAGTAGTAAATGTTACGAAATGATAGTAGAAAGTAACGCAAAATTGTGAGACTGGGGTAACCATAGTTTATTGAGATATTTTGTACATCATTACTCTGACGAAAAGAAAAAGATCAGTTCCTGCTCTTGTGGGAACTTTGAGCTCATCATCTTCTAAAAGAAACAAATAGAAAAAACAGATTGAGATTGTGGAAACGCATTGTTGCTGGCAAAGTGAGATCAACCTAATCCAATTTGACAGTATTCTTTGCTCATTCAGACCTACATAATGGTCCCTTTGCGATATCCAAAGGAAATGTGGTGAGTTCAAGTTATTAAAGACAAGTGGAATTACCAGCTTTCAGTGAAAGATATTAAAAAATATTCACCGCAACTGATGTGTTGTTACTAACCAGTTATTGTATTTTTCCCCATAGTCGTCGTTTTCCAGAACTCCAGTTCTGATTTTCCGTTGGTTGTTCTCAGTTTCAGTTTCAGCCTTGAACCTGTTTCGATCTTGAAGTTTTCTTTTCGTCACTGATCGACCAAACCTTAGATAAGAACTTTCCACCATGTGGAAGATGTTTGTCGAAAGAATAACGGCGAGCATGACAACGCAAAACACAGAGTGCTTCATGTTCAGTACCTAAAAGAGAATTAGGGTTAGAAACAATCATTTGCCCTGAACAAATTCCTTGATTAGCTGAGTTCTGAGCTATATAAAGAAATGAGATAAAGAGAGCTCAATTGCCCATCGTTCCACACACAAGAGCCAACACGCGAAGAAATTGGCAAGCTACACAGTGCACGGCGGTAACGCATTTAGGAACATGCTAAGATTGTGGCTTGCCTCAAAAACATGATTCATAGTTAAGTTATCTTTTAAAAGAACATAATGAAAAATTTCCGTGGCTTTTTCTTCATCTAGCTGTAACTCTTACTGGAGGTCAACTCAAATGGGAAATTTAGATAGTTTGTTAAGTGCAAAGAAAGAGCACCTTTATCATGAGCATGAGACAGCGAAAAAAATTTGCCGGGGCCTTCGAGAAGAATTCGAATTCAAGCCTTTCGATTTCGTGGTCCGACAGTCTACTGACTGAACTACAAAAGCTCATCTCTCAGGAAAGCATCGTGCGTGCATGGATATAGATTACGAAAGATAGTAAAATTTTAGCATGCTCGTAAAATTTTAGCACGCTCGCCCTGGCTTGGCAATATGCTCAGAAGTAGACTAGAGGTAGTGCACCCAACCACGAAATCCAAAGGTCCTAGATTCGAACTCTCCAAAAAGACTCGGGATTTTTTATCTTACTCCATGAATGTGACAAAAACGAATGGCAACTATCTTTAAAAAATGGTGTTACTTGTTATGTGTCTCCAACGACAATTCGAACCTCTGCCGTCCCAGATATCTCATTTATTCCAAGAACGAGCTCAAAATTTATTATCTCTTTCTTTCCAGTTGCAGTCACGCAACGCTTTCAACATTGCTGATCTAGCAACACGCAAGAAGCCTGTCATATATATGAATCAAGAACATGGCTTAACCTATCTACTAGCGCCATTTGGAACGGTGGTAGAGTACCCAATGTAGAGACCAAAGGATCGAAATTTCGTTCCTCGTGAGCACCAAGAATTTTCCTCGGTTGACCCATGCACGTCAATATATGTTGTAATCTATCTCTGACAGCTTTTGCCTCACGAATTCAACGATTTTTTTACATTAAGTAGAACGTACTGCCGTTCCAAACATTTTCTAGGTGAACGCATTAAATGAGAAAAATTACTGTGCCGTTGAAAGAATGAGACCAAAACCGTCATTTTCGCATTTTTAAAAAGACTATGAAAATCTAAACAAGAATCTTGATTGAGTTACAGTTAGCTGTATTAAATCTGTTATCTGTATGTTACCTTTCAATCAAAATATAACCAGACTTTCAAATTAAAGTCTCAAGCAAATTGAACATCAGAAGAAAAAGATCTGATGATAAATGAAATCCAACTGACTCTCACGAAATCGTAACTATCTTCTTTTTTAACATATTTCATGAGCTGATAAATTTTTCGGATTTTGCTTCCTATACAAACTATCACGTGGAATTCAAGAAATTTCAAGGACTAAAAACAAATGCAAAGTTTTACCTGAAGGTCCAGAGGTTTCTGTTCAAGGTATACTCGGTTTATTCTCTGACAAGGCAATTGCAATAAATTTGTGCCGAATAAATCCGCATTATGTAGAAACCGTTCGGACAATTTGTTTTCATATGTAAATAATATATTTTTTGAAGCCTGCAGCTTTGTTTTACCACCGGATATAAACTTTAGAAACAAGCACCCATAATTTTTCCTTGTCATTTCGTGAAAACGGTCCCTTTTCAAATTCACATCATTATAAACTCCATCTAAGGAAATGATCGGATGAGTTAATATCTGTCGTATTGTTAAACTGTTAATAGTAGGCTTTCTGTTTGTGTTCAAAATCCGAATGAAGTAAACAACAAATTTAGGAGCTCAATTATTTTTTCACTTGCAAAAAAAAAAACTGCGTATGACTCGAGCGCAAAAAGGATTTGCTGTGGGCGTTCATATATTTTAATAATAAAGAGCAAAATGTTATGAGATTGTTAAATCTTTTTTCCCTCTAAAGGTGATTATCGAAAATGTAATATAGTAATCTTTTCTGCAGAACGCGCATTTGCTTGGCTTTTGGTTCAATCTGGATCGACTAAGTTTTCTTTTTTCATGTCCGTGCAGTCCACCTCAACGGGGGAAGTACATTGTTATTTTAGTGTGGATCGCTATTTTTTCCTAATTGTTTGCTATATACTATGACAGAAAATGATCGCAAAATTTTTGATAAACTCACCACTAATGCTATTTTTTTAACAAACTAAAGATAAGAAAAAAGAAGGAGAGAAAGTCTCTTTTTGTATTAATGCAACTTGTTTTATGGGTCTCCACACAGTGCTTCAATGCTTACGAGAGTAAATCTTCGACATATTCATTGGAAAGCTCGCTCGATAACGAGTTTCTGTGAATTATTTTCTAGTACAACAGCTGGCCAGCAATATTTCCGGGCATCGATGAAAGGGGGATAATTTTGCGGTTTGTTACACCCGAACTCAGACAATTGAACCTGATATCGAAATCTTTGACAAGAAAATTTAAAACAAAGTTTAAATCATGGGGACATGGAAACGACGATTCAATGATTTTCCTTTCTCCGTGCTTGTCATTACAAAGCTGATAGCAGTGACACTTAACCAGTATCTCTGAAAGTCAAACGTTCTCTTTGCTAAAAAAATTTCTATTTGCAGCCTAGCTTCCTCTTTCATGTACATTTACTTGATGAAGTAGAGTTAAACATTTTTTTTTTCTCGGTTTAAATACGAGAAACTGACCTACAAAGTCCAGGTCACAAATAATTATTTTCTTTTTATCTGGTTTACGGCATAGTCGCATCTCAACTTTTCCTATGCAAGGAAACTACCAAACTGTATTTTTAATAAGAACCTTAATTCAGAAAAGAATCCGATCCGTAATATCTTCCCCATACTCTTGAGGTGAGTGGCTGCCAAAGTTATCAAAGCTCTCTACGTCTGATCGCTGTTTTTACGACTCCTGACTTATATTCTTGGAATTCGAGGTTCTCGAAAATTGGGAAGTAATTAATTAACCGTGAAATTCAAAGATTTATCATGTATCGTAAGTTTGGTGAATTTCAGATTCTTTCACCCAGTTCATGTATAGATGCACGTTGGAGCTATTCCGCATGCCACCTCCCCTGACACTGAAAGGTTAAGACTCAGAGGGAACGATATTTCAGTAAGGCTGGCATCTAAAATAAGATATTTTGATTTACGTTTCGTTTCACTTTAGTTTTGATTTGTTTTGTTTTATTTTATTTTTCTTTATCAAATGTAAAATAACGTTAACTCGGCACTAAATAAAACGATCTCACTAACTGAGATTGGTGGGGGTGTTTTAATAAGTTCCTTTGCATGGGCGTAAAATATAGCCGGATATCGTGGAGGTTATTGGAAAAAAAAAATTAATATCTGTTGTTAGTTTTGACACTAAATAGGCTTCCTTTTAGATTTGTTGTAAGATACAGGATAATAAAATCGTTGACGTGATCAGTAACTTTACAGCTTTCCAGAAAAAATGTACACCCAAATTTATGAAACGACACAGCTCGACCAATGTAGGAAAAAGTTCCAACCCTCCGTTTATCAGTTTCAACACATCGCACAAACCATCGCGTTCAATACACCTGATGTAAGTTTTTTAAGGTGTTACTCGCGAAAAACAGATGCCATATGTATGATGGTTTGCAAATTCATCTTCCTGTGATTGAAAATTTCGATTGAAGCTGCTTATTTCCTGTTCTAGATGTTAGTATCGTTAATGAGTCACAATAATTTAAAACCTTATTTCAAGTTGCGTTGTAAGTCTCAAGGTTTGAATTCCAGCTTTTTGTTTTTTAAACATATACAATCGCAATATTCAGAAAGGATGCCGAGAACTGTTTGGAAAGATACAGTAAACGTCCAAATGCACAAATTAAAAAAGAGAACGAATGAAAAGAACAAAGTTTTGTTTTCAGTTAATTTGGCTTAGTTTCTATAACTTTCTGTTATTGTCCAGCAGGTTAACAACTGTAACACATATCACACTAAAGCGACTTACTCAAGCTCTATCAGATTTGCATCTGTAGATTTTCTTAGATCCTATCTTTAGTTTCACCAACTGAGATAATGTCAAATTCGATGAAAAGGCAGAAGTATTAAGTAAATTGGCATCGCATTCATATTTTAAAGCCGAAAAGATTCTCATTATTTTGCTATTGTTTCTGTTTATATAAGGAAACCTCTAATACCAGGCAGAAGTCATTTTGAAGGAAAGAGACAAATTTACTGATATACATTTTGTATGCCGGAAATTAATTGGCAAATAACGCCTGAGTTTTAATGGAAATGTGTGTGTGGAGGAGTACTGATAGAAAATTTTTCGACTTTCTTTCCCTACCTTACAATTAGGAAAAGATTCCATGTATTCAAACCTACAGAAAGAATATTCTGATCGATTAAGAAGTTGTTTATTAACAGGTTAAGAGAAGAAACTTGCCTCAGTAGAGTAAACTAAGATGATAGGTTAAAGGGTAACACGGCACTGAAAGAAGTTTGTAGTCAACAAACACAAGCGTTGCTGTCTGTACTAATAAAATAAATGATATCACTTTTTTTACTGAATAAAACATGGAACTACCAAATTGGAGAAAATTCTTCAAAACGCCTCATGATCAGTGGTCTGTAAAACATCTTTTCATCGGTACTGTCCTCACAAAGATTTTTTCTTACAAATTAAAAAGCATGAGATTAGAGAAATGTAGGGTTACGCCTCTGCAGTGGCCAACTAGTTCTGCCATGAGTACAAGATTTGTACGAATTTCTGTTGTAGAAGTACTCACATGCTTCGTTTGAGGTGAGTTTAACAATTTAAAAGGCGTCATAAGAGAAAACAGAAGATTCATTTTTAATTGGTCTGGTCGACCTTTAGATATGCCTTTACGCCATATCTTATTTCCTAAAATTAATGACAAGATAGTGAACACAAACAGACAAGCGATAGTAACTTTGTTTGACACATTCATATTGTTATGGCAAGAAAGGTGAATAACGTACGCCTTTACAATGTAAATACGCATAAAAGCAGGACAGAGGTAACTGAGTTGACGATGTGACTAAAGATAAGCAACAAATGGCTGCCGTTTCATCACCTTACTATATTAAAGCAACCCCAGAGGAGGGCGAGTGACAAGATCAGTGTTGAATACAGCAACACGATTGTATCCATCATCGCTGGACAAGGTGTGAGTCAGGAAAGTCCAAGATTAAGTAAGTTACGCAGCCCTGCTTTTGGATATGAAACATGGAGTATTATATACATAAGTCCAGTGATACCTTTACTATTGATGACATGGGGGAGGACTATCATAGGATACGGCATAAATTTCCCTACAGTCTCTGTATTCGGTGCTTCAGGAACATAAATAACTTTCAAAGTTGAATGCTGCCTTTCATGAACTTCAAGAAAACTAACATTTCTCCTATGATTGCTTCACATTGGAAGCGCGTTTTAGGGGTAAAATCATTCAATTATCTCAGTGTAACTTATTAAAACTAGGACTATGATTTTTTTGTTTTTTGTTTTTTTGTTTTAGAACTTTATAATGAAGAATCGTAGTATCCTTCCGGTAGTAGCCATAGTTTTCCTTGCTCTCGCCATCGCTGTTGAAGAAGTCCAACTTGTTTCGAATTTTGGAAGGAGGTTTGGTCGCTCCCTGAAGAAAAAGAGCACTTTCAGAAACAAGTTCGAACGCCAAGAGAAATTGAACTCTTCACCTCTAGTTCAAAATGAGTACGAAGTCGGAAATCCGTTTGATGAGTATCGGCTGGTAGCCGGAGAAAAGCAGGTTTGTTAACATTATGTGTTAACGTTATGAGTAGGGAATGCTAGTCAAAAGTCCCCGTCCGAAAAAAGGGTTGATCACTGAAAAAGACTTCCATCAAGGAATCCTGTAGGAAAAGACAGAGTTAGTATAATAATAAAACTTTTCATTAATTTCTTGCCTTTTGCAAAAATAGACTGAACGGATGCATAGCTACTTTAAATTTCAGAGAAGAAAACAAATGGCTGTTTACTGAAAACTTCTTCGTTGTATTTATGGGCACGAAAATTGTTGTTTGCTACCGGAGGCAAAGCTCTTGATTCTTAATGCATCAATGTACTGTATCATAAATATTTCCCATGGCCGGAGAGGTAATTACACCAATGAACTAAAAATGTCAGATTCCATAAGTTTCGTGCTCAATGAATTTACTGCCATCAACAATTTTGAATCAAACTACTAGATACATTTCCTCTTTTCATAGAGCATATCGAAGATTTTAACATCTTCAGCAGATGCGTCATAGATCTTGTACATACAGAGAGGATTGTTACCTTATTGGAAACAGGATGAAAGATATCATTACGATACCAGTTCACCTTTCCCTTAAACGATATATTGTTCTAATCTGTTTGACTTTTTTTATCGTAGGATTTTCAAGGGCAATGACCCAAAGAAGCAATAGAACCGGTGAATTTATCTTTAAAAATAAATGAGCGCTCACACTCTATAATGTGAATTCATGATGAAGATGAAAATAAAGATCAAAAAACGACATCTTTGTGAAGAAGTTTTACTTCAGAGGAAGAGCAGTTTAAAGATACAAGGAACACGTTTCTTGTTATTTACTTTGTTAGGAAATTGTTTCTTTCGTCTTCGAGTTAGCAAGGCTTCTTACTAACAACATCGGATACGCGATTAAGTTAAACTTGACAGCTGGAGATGTATATTATACTTTTTTCAGTATGTTGACAAACCAAGACAAAAGATTATAAACTGATCTCTTCTCGGTTCTTGCGGACCAGTTGCATGATTCTGCATTTAATAAAAAATAAAAATCAATCATATACCATCTGAACCTTAATGTAATTGAGGCTTTAACATGGGAGCTCTGAGGGGTTCAAATTTTCTTGAACATCCAGGGTCACAAAATTGGGATCTTCAGCCTTGCCTCCTCATTATCAAAGCAGTAAGAGCCAGAGACCGCATTGAACCAGAGACTGTACTCACCATCCAATAACAATGAATCTATGAGACACTTGCAAGACTAGCTATTACTCGATAGACTATCCATGACGTCCGCTGGTGCGTTTTACACCGCACATAAGCCAAATGACTTGCCTATTACGCAGTGCAGGAGAGAATCCTAGGGAGGGGTACAAATGCCCATTTAAAAGTTATCCTTAATTTTAATTTTTTTTTTTTTTTCATTCATGCACCAGCATAAGTTCTTTATTCGGATAAATTTCAGTGTCTGAACATTGTACACCTACCCCTCCTTGGTATCATTTGACCGTTCTTGGGTCAGGGGAGGGGTGGATGATGAGCAGTTGATATTGATCCGTTATTTCCTCTAAATAGCTGAGAGGCCATTCTTGTTAACACTTGTTCAGGCTACTCGACAATTTACTGGTACCGATTTGCGTTCCTGGGGTGTACAAGAGTGATCAATGAGAAAAAACGCCTCAACTTATGAAAAAAATAGTAATCAAACAACTTGATATGCATTGTCACAGGCCGCAACTTGAATGCGCCCCAATTTTGTAAAGTAAAGATCGCAAATTTCAGTATTGCTCTTTGGTAATAAGAGCCCTGAAATTTATGCCAAACTTGGAAAAGAATGAATTCAGATCTGTCATAGAGGCTTGCCCACGTCAAAAACCGCATCGTAGTTTTAGCCTGTGTCAACCCGATTCGGCTGAACTTTTACCTGACCTTTTTATATTGGGAGGTATTTTTTGTTATCATTTTCTACATTATTGTTATTTTCTCTAAGCCTCTCTTACTGGGTAAAGGTATGGTCATGAACACATTTTACATAAGTTCCGGCACGGTCAAATTCTACGATTACAGTGGTCAGTTCCTGGGTTGCGATAACTCGCCTTAGATATCAAATTCCAGCAAAGGGAAGGGATTACACTTCTTGTACTAAAAAACTATCTTGTCGCAGCCCGATCGTTCAGAACTGAGATATTCTTTCGTTCTGTCACCTCATATCTCGTTCTTTCGGTAGAATTTTCTCAGGTGACCTTTCCATAGAGAAGGTGATATGATCGTTCCAAACTATGACCGATGGTCGTGACTACCTGTCTCATTTGACAAGTTTTGAATGTATCCACCTGACAGAAGGCATTCACCTGTTGACTTATTTGAGGTGATTTTCCGCTCGTAGAATTTCTTCTCATCCTGTGGGTGGAAGGTGAACTCTTCTGGTGTTCAAGATGCAATGAAAATCCAACGACTCTATCAAATGCGAAAAAAGAAACGAGAAGGAGAGAAAAACCTTGTAGAATCTGTAATAGAATTAAAACAATTTTGAAATGACATCGATACGAGTAACCCTCTAAATTCACGAAAAAGAACTAAAAGAATCACGACTAAAGCACAAAAATTAGTTCATATTCTTAGCCATAATGTTATATTCTCCAAACAAAAAGGCAAAACTAAAAATCAGGTTAACTTTTTTTCTTAGTTCAATGACCTCATTGTTCAATCGATGAAGGTCATTTTGCTGGAAATTCGCTGCGCATGCGTAACTCTACTTTGGGGCAAATAACGGAATGAACAAAGAATGTTGTTGATTAGATAATCCGCTCTCATTCTATCAACATTTGATTTATTGTAAACAAGCCACTCAAGTGAAATCTATTTCCGAAATCCTAACGAATTGGGAACATCGCGACTCCGTAAGTATATTTCATTTGGTTTCTTCTGTTTTTTTTTTTAGGTAGGAAAACTAACGCTCCTTTTCATGAAGTTTCCACGATGCAAATTAACCTTTCATGGTCCTTGACCGGCAACGGAAGCAGGTTGCGTTAACAAAAACATCCACTGGACAGATTTACTTTCCAGGTCTGATTTTGATATTCACTGAACTCAGGGTAACCGTGCAATAATTGTCGAGAAGCCTGTCTTAGAATGCAAAATAGACAAAATAATGAGATCAGGCTGTGATGCAAAGATATATCAGAATGAACTAATACAATTATTTCCACCAAAACAATTTTGTTTTGAGAAAGTTCTAGTCTCAACTGGTGTGATCATCAGAACACAGCACTTTGCTTTCATAGACCCCATCTGGTAACGATCAAACATTTTCATTACAAGTTCTTAAGCCAAACTGAAGGAACTGCTTCAAACACTAATTGTTTATTTTTATTCGGATGAAGCATGGCGTTTTGTTCTCCAGAATTTTTAACCTATTCCGACTAAGCATATATACGAGACTTTTTGGTAGTCTTGGGAGGACTTCGTTTTGTTTTTAAGAAATCTCGGATTCACTTGTTGCAGATTACAAAACTGCTTTGAAAATCTCATGTGAAGTATTAAGTCGTAAATAAAATTTGCGGCTCTAATGAATAAATCCGAAGTAATTAAAAACTTGATTCTTTTATCGTTTCATTCGCGGATCCAAGAGTCCTTTCGATGGATTTTTAGGATGATCGTGATTAAATTAGAAAAATTCAGAACCAGTCTTTACCTATTTGATAGATTTTGTTGTATAAAGTTTTTACTCTGAAGTTAAGCCTGATTGCTTCGAAGTTTTTCCTGTTTCATTTCGTGATTTTTAAGCTTTACAGCGGTACTCGTGGTAGAAAGTAATTCATTATGCCAATGAAAAATATCTTTATTTAGGCTTAGTATACGAACAAGCAGAAAAGAATAGTTTGGTTGTCAGGTACCGGTTAAACTCTTCGCCGATTCCTGAAGTTTTGTGCTTGTGGGTTGATTGTTCGCATCAGTCCAAAAAAAAGGTGTCATTCAACGGTAAGGCCTTAACAAGGGCTGGAGGCCATATTTGACCTTTCTGATGAGAGAGAATCGCTCTGCATCACAAGAAAACTTATTTCTGAAGTTTTAGTTTTGTTTCCTGCAGCAATCTTCAAGCAATGAGGGGCGAGAAGTTTTACGTCTGCTGTGCACTACTATTGTCGAGTTACATCGCTTTTTCAAGCAGTGCGACCACAAGTAAGTGATCTTAATTTGGAGACGAGAAAAGAAAAATAAAGTGATCGCAAGGAATGAAAAGTAACGTTTACAAACAGTTAATGGTCATTTGACCATGAAACAGCAGTTTCATTAAAAAAAAAAAAAAAATGCGCAGGAAAAGTTCTATTTTTTCCAAACAGTTAATGGTTACAATTTCAATCTTTAGATAATAAAACGAAGTCTAAACAGTCCGGTGTTTGAAATTTTTTAAGAGAGGATGTTTTATAAACTAATAATGAGTAATAGAAGGCTGTTACAATAGCTCTTCAGTAGTTGCCAAATTTAGCTGGCTGCAACAAATGTTGAGTCCAATAAATGGATTAAATCGAAAATTCAAGGAAAGAGTTGGACAAAAATTTTCCCCTTATAGAGGAAATTTTAAAAAGGTGCCGTTAAACGGTCAGGCCTCAACAAGGGCCGTTGGTCATAGCTGCAAACCTTGCGATGGTGGCGAATTGAAAAAAAACAAAACAAAACAAAACTAAGAAAAAAAAACTAAACTAGACAAATAGTTTGTACAGTTCAGGAAATTAAGTGTGACATGCACGTAAATGAACATTGAACCCTAAGGTTTTTACAGGTGTCGCAAAGTTAGAAATATATTTAGAAGGACCTGAACAAAGGGAAGTTCAGGTCGAAATCTGAAATCCTCGCCTTGGGCGGGAAACAACATCAGGTCACGTTAAGGTAGTTACGTTCTCGATCCAGCTAATCCTTAGTGTAGTGAAATGAACCAGAAACATTCTGGACTCCCTACTTTAGAACCTCCATTTATCACCACAACGATGAAGAATCCATGAATGTAACTAATATGAAGTATGTTTAAAAATAAAGCCTCACGACCGGCAACGACGCCCAGTTCAAGTACAGGCAAACCCAGTGGATCTCCCACGCCAACCAAACCCGCTCCACAGGATCCTAACACGCTGCAGTGTAAGTCACTGAATGATGGTCAAGATTAACAGGTTCTTAATGTTGTCTGCATTGGAAACTTTCAAGTAGCCGCCTTGATACTCTGAAAATCTCACTGTTATATTTCTCCACATGAAAAAAACCAACGTCAAATGCAAACAGCACCTGAGCATGTCTCCGTTTCCCATTCTATGTTGGTTTTGAATTTATATTTGAAGGTTTTTTTTTTTATGTGAGAAATGGAAAGCAAGTATACAAACTGAATCACTGACAGGTTTCTAACTTATAAAGTTTGACTCTCATCACGTGGCTGATGCATCAAGTCACATTCACGATATTTGGTCTCAGAATCTCTCCCCTCTTTGTAGGCACCGTATACAACCTGACACTGAAGCTAACAAACGCTACTTATGATGAAAGTTTAGCTTCTCCACATTCGCCTCAGTTCATCAAACTTAGAACGGATTTCGAAGTTGGAGTAAGTATGCAGAAACTTGGTGATATGTCGTTGAAGCATGGTGATACGTCTTGTTTTGTAAACATAAAATTTGGTATGATACCTCGCTTAGAATTTCATACTTGTTAATGAGTATTTTTGTTACTGATTAGATTTTACAAGTCTATGATGGATACAAGCCATTCCTTGGCGTAACAACTTTGTTATTAAGGTAGCTATGTCACACATTTTGCAGTAGCTTTCAAATGATCACGAGTTCTAAAATAAACGTGGTCCGGGAATAACACTGGACTTACTTAATGACGCTCTTTATTGGTTTGGAAACTTCGCGTCACCTTTTCGACCATTCAAAAGTAAAAATCCAATGTCGACTTCGTCACTCGTGTCTTTACGCCAGTTGCTACGTTTACCTGGTGTTGCCATTAGCTTGAGTTCTTTAGTTATCTCCACTGTCAATATATGTTTACCTATAGGACGACTCAAAGGAAAAATATATGTCAGATCACTTTACTTATCCCTATGAAAGCATTCTCTAAATAACCTGTATGTAATTCATGATTAGAAAGCGAATTACCGTGAGATAAAACTCGGACTATCATGATATTGTGGTTTATTGAGACTAGTTTCAACCAGACAAAGTTTAAACAACCAAAGTTTCTCCGGACTACTCTATAATGCCTTTGCAGGATAAATTTCGTCTTCTATGCAAAATTGTGATAATGATGTGCAACATCAGCTAATTTTCAGCTAATTCTTAAATCAATATTAACTTCCCAAAAACAGTAAAGCCCCAGATGGCAAGACCATCGCACACTTTGTGGTAGAGTTCAAAGATAACGGAACTCATCTTCCAAACTTGACCAAGGCCATAACCGCTGGAAAGCTTGGAAAGCTGACTCCAGTTGCTGTCGCCCCAAAACTGGGTCAAGCAGGTAAGTCATGGAATAATACTACTTTTTTATCAAAACTTCCCCATATATGGATAGTTAAATAAAGAGCGGTTCACGAGCTGAACCATTATAAAAATTTTTTAGGTGGTTACTGGTGTGGTCCTTTGGCCAAAAGTCATGTTTTTCTGAGATATGCATAGCCATTGCTGTAATATTACCTGGAGAAGAATCATAAAAGTTTCTCTATATAGCCGGTTAAATTTCTAACCTTCCTCTTCCTATTCGCTGTTAAGAAATATTCTCCACCTCAACATTTTTGATAAACGCTATTGAAAATACATACACAGTATTCATAATTTTTTTACTCTTTCTCTAGCATGCTACAAAGAAATGCCCCCCGCGATCTGCCAAATTCCATGTCCATCAGCCTGTGCTCCTTCCTGCTACTCCAGCTGCTGCCAACAGTACCAACAGCCCTATTACTATCCCCAGGCTCCTCCTCCTCCCCCACCTCCCCCCATGCCGATCACGTGCCCAAATAACTGCCCCAGTACATGCGCACCGATCGGGTGCACTCCTGCCTGTTGTAACACTGTGTATAACCAGCCTTCTTATTCGTACGGTAAGCGTCACCACGCCCCAAAACCAGTCAAAGGATCCAAGAAACACCAAATCTTCCGTAAACACCATAAGCATCACTAGAGAAGGGGTGAATGCAAAAGTGACAGAAGGAGAGAGGAACGTTGGAATTTTTTTTGCTTACTTTTACGTACTCGTCTCGGTTCGACACCGATTCTTTGTTGCGCAAGGTATCTTTAGTGCTCTCATAAAAAAAAAGTTCATTTAAAGTTTATTTACCATCAAAAGCAATCAACGAGAGCCAACGAACTGAAACGTGTCAAACCTTCGTCCTAAACACCCGTAAGACACTATGTACAAAAAGATATGCAAATAAATATAAAGATTGAATTCTTGAATAGTTGTCAGACGGAAATAATTTAAATTTGATTTCAGCGAAATAGGGCATTTTATTTACTTAAGGACAGGACATTTACAGAAACAAAATTCAATGAATTACTATCACAAAAAAAGACTTTGTTATTCCAAGGCCCAAAGGGACTGTTTAACTTAAGTTTATCTTCTTGGGGTATGATATTTTAAATTCTGTTATTTGTTTGTTGGTGAAATGGAAAGTAGTTTAGTTTTAGCTTATTGTAAGCATTGTAAATAAGGCACAGTGACGTCACGACTGAAAATAAACAATTCCAAAATTTCAGGTGTGTTAGATTTTTTTAATCTATTTACCCCTTTTTCCAACCACAAAACAATTCCATTTATGTTTATTGTTAGATAAGCGCCAAATCTATCGTCAAATTATATTCGTGCATCTTTTTCAGTGACAACTAAAAGGAGATAATTTCAAATACATCGACAAGTGATTGGGATAATTATTCCAGTTGTGTTAGAAATTGTTCCATCGAATTTACCCAAAATATGGCACTTGCTTTGTTTACTAAAATTACTCATCCATATTATACTCTTTACAGTAGAGTGGTATATCCTCCCATCTGGTCACTAGGAAAAAATATTTTCAAATGCATTGACAGAATTATTTGAGGGCAATTATTCCAACTAAGAAATTTTTTCTCACCAACCCTTGTGGCACTTATGTTATTGTGCTAAATTAGCCATATTTTTGTGAAATATCGTTCATCAATTAGAGTGGTATCTTCTCCCCTCTCGTTACTGGGAGGAGATATTCTTGATTACATTATTTAAAATGATTGAAGCAGTAAAAGAGGACGGATGCTACAAACACACGAGAAGACGCACAGGGCTTGCACTGTAAGTATCCCGGAGAGCTCCATACAATTCTTTATAATTTTATTATAAGGAATTGCATGGAGCGTTTTTGGCGTTAGTCGTGGCGTGGCAGGTGTTGTCGTGTATTATCCTTGCGAGGATCATACGTGACAACACCCGCTGCACCTCGACTAATGCTAAAAACGCTCCATGCAATTCCTTATCATTTGATTATAAGGAATTGCATGGAGCTCTCCTGGATACTTACAATGCAAGCTCTGTGTCTTCTCATGGTAGCGATTTGGCAACTCAGTTAACAACAATTTAGCATCATATTTGTCTATAATCTTCCATAATAACACATGGGAAATGGTGAGATTCAGGTTTATTGAATATATGACTTGCTCACAGGGCTCTTCATGATTAGTATTCGCTGGTTTATTAGTATACTTTTTACTATTTTAGTGCTACCCTCATTAAATAAAGCCTTTACTAACTTACTTACTTACTTACTCAGTCAAACTTAATCAGACAAACAGCGCAGGCATAATAGTATTCACACTTCCCTTGTATGATGGCCCGTTTGCATTGTTGGACAATTCAATGGTGAACAATGATTTTGTAGAATACATGGCAAACCAGGGATGGCTTTTTTAAAATAGATTCCTTGAGTTAGAAAGATCGCTCTCTGCGACATTGAACGACCTAGTAACCCTTAGAATGCGGGAGGTGAATGAAAATCGTCCGGGACATGCCGAGGACTTCAGAAGCGCAGCGAAACAAGCAGTATGACATTACATGCTACAGTCATTTTAAAAATTATCGTAGAATCAGTTATGATTCTTCTATTCTTATCTTTTCTTGTTAAGGGTTATGTCGTGTGTCTGTAAAATTTAATGCAAACACTTTAGCCCAAAGCTTCACTATAATTTCCCTGGGAGAGTGCAACTAAACAAACAGTGGTATTTCCTGAAAAATAAAAGATATTTATATGTTTTTGTTTGTCTGTTAATGCAAATCCCTCTGTAATCTTCCTCTCGATAAATTGTTTTCTAGAATTGATTATTTTAATAATAAGGAAAATTTCATGTTGACTTTGTTTTTCGATCGACCAGTTTGTTTGTCAGTTAAACTTGATAGACAAATTAGGATAATATCAAATGGAACAAAAAAATATAAAGTAGAATCAAGCAGTATATATTTTCAAGATGTTAAACTTAATATCTTGTGGCAAAAATTTTCAAGTTTGGCAAAAATTGCCACAAAATAAAAACTAGAAGCAATTATTTTGTAATATGTCATCTAAATTGCATGAAGAATTAAGCAAAATAAAAAGGTTTTATGTAACATATTTGGGCATGTGAGGGCCTTCAATCTATGGAAAGAAAATGGCCATTTTCGAATACTTCCGTTTTTCATTCAGTCAGCCTACTCGATCACTTTTTGTGCCTATTGCCTCCTACAGGAGGTGAGACCACATCTGTTGTTTAATGAAGTTGAGTCATTTTTCTCACAACTGGAATCATCTAATGGCGTTGTTTATTTGTTGATGGCGACGTTTGGACTAGCATACTGCTTGTCTTCGTTTAGAAACGAGGGTAAAATGACAAAAAATTACTATGGAATAAAAATAAAAATCCTGGAATCCTCCATGTTTACAGTCTAAGCGGAAGGAAAATCACATATTAAGGCCTAGATCTGCGGCGATGTAAGAAAAAAACCCTATTTAAAGACTCTTTTTCTTGTCATTTCCTTGAAGGTGAAATTGCATAAAAAAAATACACGATCTGCGGAAGAATTAGCTGTATTCAAAAGACGAGCTCTCAAATATAAGGACGAAATGTTTACTTTATACTCAAAGCGAAATAAAATTAATCTCGGAAACGTATACTTTATTTCATTTTTTTTTTTTTTGAGTCAAGTTTGAGGCAAGAAAATTATTTAAAGTTTATTTTCAGATTTCAGGTGACCATAGAGACAGATTACAAAAGATATCTGCATGATGCTCTTTAAGTGCTGTTTTACTACACTTTTCAAACGTAACAGCATTACTTACCCTAACCTTGACATTAGAGGTATATGTGGTTGCCGCAGGCATTGGGTTGCTTTTCCTTTCTAACAGTCGATAAAATTTTTGTTGATCAAATAAATACAGAATGTAACAGGCAGTAACTGCGTTCAGCTTCCTCTTGCGACTATCTTTTTTTTCTCTCTTTGATATATTTTTAACAGATAATGATAGTGCACCTACAAAATGACCTCAGAGAACACGACTGTCGAGTGACAGGAAATCTGTTGGAGCTGATTCCCTACAATTTTAATTTGAAATGTTCTTCTAGGCAGAAAAAATTCCCTGACTTCACCCTGACGACGGAAATATATTTTCTCGGCTATTTCCTGACCTGCACAACCATCATATATACACACGTTAATCAACTAGCTCTAACGATTATGTTGATTGGCTACATGGACAACTTTCTTTACACTTTACACGAGACAAATTGAGTGTCTCACCGGCCTTATGTTTAATTAGCAAAGTAAAATCAATTACGGTAGAAACTCTCATCTCATTTTTCTGTGTCACACAGATGAATGAAAAAAAAATGATAATAAAGATAAATAACAGAAATTAAAATGAACTCCTTGTAGTATCATCGGACAAAAGTTAATTCTCATGGCAGTGCCTTATGTACATCATAATTAAAGTGTACGCTAACTTAAGAAAACCACAATCAACTTCAAGAGATAAACAAAGTAAAAAAAGGAAAGAGAAAAAAACAAAACAAAACCCACACACACAAAAAAATTCATAAATAAACAAGAGGAAGAGAAAAGAAAATGAACGTTTCATCATATATCCTCCGGCGCTTATAGTAAGAGAAATATTCCCGCCCTGATGCGAGCATTTTCTACGGAGTTCAGGGTACATTTTAGATCATGGTTGGCGCCCAAGCATAAACTGGACCTTTACTGAAAACCTTTCATGTAATTTCCATCTCTTTTTTTTTTTTTTTTTTTTTATGTCAGTAATAATAATCCAAATCTGATTGGGAAGTATTAAAATAGAACTACAAAGGGAGGAAGAATAAGCAACTTGGTAACCCTAATTTTTTCCTGTTTTATTCTTGTTTAGTCTTTGAAAGATACGAGGTCGAGGTAGTCTCATTGTCATTTGGTATGCCTATGTCTCGCTGCTGTCACAAACTGTTTTACAGTTCATTTAAAAAGGAGATCTTTTTCATTTATCCCATGATCTAATCAACAAAACGACCCAGTAGTGCTTGTTTCGAAAAAAATTCTCTTAGAACTACTGGATCGTAAATTTGAGCAATAAATACGAGGGCAAATAATGACAAAATTTAAAGTTCTCTATACATTCATACCTTCAATATTTTACATATCTCTCGCTTTTTCAACAATAAACTGTGCGTGATCCTAAAGTAAATTGAACAAACAATGCATTGAAGCACCTTAAAGGTGTTCACTTAAGCCTCAAGACAGACAACTTTTTCGCTACATCGAGTTTCTTAACTGTTCGAATTCTGTCATCCGCTCCAATCTGTCTTGGAAATAAAAGTTTTGCAATTTAACCTTCATGAACTGGTTGCCCTTTTTTTCCGTGGTTAAGCGGAACCAGAAGCTAGTGCTGTCATAATCATGGGTTCCTCTTTGTTCTTTTTCGAGCTCGAAACGACGATCCTGCTTGGAGCCGAGGTTTTCCGAACAAAAGACTTAAAGGAGCTCCTGGCAGCTTTGCGGTATTCTGTGCTCATTAGGCCGAAGATGATGGGATGGGATGCGCTGTTGAAGTAAATAAGCCACAACGTGACCGAATAGACAAGATTGGCAGAGAACGTGTCAGTAATCTTGGGATTAGCAAGCAATCTCCAACAGCTGAGGATGTAGAAAGGAAACAACGTTACAGCAGCCGTTGTAACAATCACCACGAGCATAACTACAGCTTTCTTTCGGATCTTCAGCGCGTGCGAACTGATTTGCACCGTGTCTGGCTCACTGAAGCTTCCGTCTTCATCGATGGATCTACGGTACTGTAATCTCGCCTTTATTCTCTTGATAGTCAGGGCGTGAAGAAATATCATAAACATGACGGGCGTAAAACGGAGGACAAATGCCTGAACAACATTAAAGATTTTATGTGTCATATGCGACGGCCACCCTTCGTAACAATGTGGAATTCCATTGATTTCTATGACTTTTCTGTAACTGAGATATACCGAGGAAGGGATGATGCTAAGTATCCAAACGAAAAACACCAAGTAGCGAACTTTAGTTCGTTGAGATCGGAACTGGAATGGAAAATAAACCACCAAAAACTTCTCCACGCTGATTACAAGCAGGGTCAAAATGGCGGCGTTTATAGACAATGTTTGGAGAAAGCTGACAAGTTTGCAGCCAATCGATCCAAAGAGCCACCTCTCCGCGATAAACGCATCGATTGTGAAAGCAGGAATGCAGAAGATTGTGATAAGGATGTTCGCAAAACTGAGGCTGAGGAAGGAAAAGTTCGTGGAGCTCCGTCGCAGTCTCTTATTGCGAATAATTGCCACGAATAAGATGCAGTTTCCCACCATAGAAGCGATGAAAATCACACCGAAGAAGATTACAATAGCCACTCTTTCACCAATTGTAAACAGGCATTTTGCCCTGAAGCAGCCGGTAGTGTTTGTAGTCGCATTCATGACTGTGGCAGTTGCAAACCTTGTAAAAGATATGTAATTCGTCCAATCGCTCGTAGACACGTTAGCACTGACGGACTCCCTCAGCAAGGTAACAGCGTTTAAACTTTGGCTGTGTTACAATGATATCCTCTCGAGTAAGTAGCAAAGGTTTCAGAGTTTTAGTCTCTTAATTAATGCCTTTTCACTCTCTTATCTCTAAATACCATTAAACCAGGCAGGTGAAAGAGATTGATTGATTAGCTGTCCATTACGTTTGCCTCAGGGATGTTTGCACGGGAATACTCAGCGTAATTATTGTCTACCTGCAGTCAAAGGGGAGAAACAAAACTATTTAAAAATCAGCACATTCAATGGTAAAACATAAACATCTATTCAACAGTTGCGGCAGGAAACAACAGCTGCTTAATCAAATTAGCAATTTATGAACTTTGTTCATTGTAAAAGAGAAACAAAGCTTGAATTGTAATTGGCTAACCGTAGCGCTGTGCGTAAATTCAGCCAATTTTTTACTGCGTCAGTAGCTATTCAGCGAAGTTCACGCGTAAGGGAAGGAAACAGAACCGCCTTAGAGCAAAAATCATTGTCAAATTAAGAAGTTCACATAAGAGACTCAAAGAGGGAATTATTTTTCCAATGGTCAGATCTAATTCAAAAAACGAGAAGAATACAATAAACAAAGAATTCATACAAGAGCCAACATAATGTGATCATGTGCGGTATAAAAAACTATGACCTTTACGTTGGAGTGTATTCTTGCAAAAACAATATATCAGCAAGAGATTAGATGGTAAACAAGCCGAAGGCGTTTCAAATTTTTTACGATCGAAAGAACAGCTCAAAATAACTCCAGTACAGTCTTTTTAACATTATAAAGAGCATTTTACGGCCAATTTGGAATATTCTTTGCAAAAGATGAGATTTGTTCTCACGAGATTTTCAGCCAGACAGTGCTAAAAGGTATCAGTCGTCGCGTGAAACCGCACGAGGTTACCCAAAAATAATTCCTGTGACGCAAACGCTCGAACTGATAGATCAAAAAGAACATCGGTAGGCGGCACTATTGAAAACTGTTGATGAAATCTGCATTAAAATCGTGGTTAGAGTTTCGTTTCGTTGAAATAACCATAACGTAATTAAATGAGAGGTTTTGCTTAGTTTTTTCCTCGAATTGAGATTTGATATTTTCTGTATTGGAGGCGTACATAGGAAGTCTTTGATTACTTGACCTTAATTAAGCGGTCTTTGGTTATCTCGGTTTTCAAAGGGAAATCTAGAACGTTAACTTCACAAGAGAAACATTCTTTTGATTGAAAATTATCACTCGAATACCCTGAAAAATATAGCACCGATGAAATATGATCTCGACAATATTTTTCACTTCTATTGCTCTAGAAACGCAGGATTTGCATGTGAGGTAATATAGTTAGATCTCGTGATTCGAGTGAATATGCACTTTTGCTGCAAATGGTCACCGTGGTATTTCGGTGAAAACGGCTGATTACAAAAAGATCATTTTTCACGAAATCTCAAAGAGCCACTTTACTCACGAGACATTCTGGGGTTAAAATAGCATTCTTCATGAGATAAAGGGATCGCATCTGACCAAAACATCTGGGCATTTTTTTTTTTCTTTCAAGCAGTTAGAAACTTACAATCTATTGAGACGAAAATTCCAAATATCAAAGGAAAAAATTAATTTTTAGGTTCCTCAAGACTGATATATTTGGCACTCTGAGTTTGAGTAGATGAGAATGATTACCCC